AACATATATTCTTTACCACATGGAAGAATCTCAATTTGTAAACTCTTTAATACTGCAAGAGGAAAAATGTGGTAACAATAGGGATGAATCTGGGGAACATTAGGGAAATTTTAGTCACTAATAGAAAATTACTCTGTAAACTCATCTTTCTGCAAAACCTAAAAAATCTGAGGTCATAGAAGAAGAGTAACACTGTGGTTATGTGAAGAGGATAAGAGGAGAGAAAAGTCTGAGGAGATACTGATATTAGAGCACAAAATTTAGACTATATAGGAGGAATAGTTCAAGAGGAGAGGTCTACTGTGTATGGTGAAGATAATAATATTAAGACCATTCCAGACATTTGAAATTTGTTGTGAAATAATATTTAATTAATTTCACTACACAAATGTATATGGGAATGCCATATAACTTTAATTTTTTATTTTACATAAACATGCACCATATATTAACATATCATGTTGTATACCATATATAAAACAAAAAAAATATTGTTTTGCAAAGATTCTTTATTATTCTTTGATATATGACCCTCTGTGTTTTAAGGACAATGAACTGTTATGGTATAAATGCCCAGAATATATTACCTCATTCTATCTATATCAAATGTCATGAGATTAAGCTTCCTTCAGCATTGTTAAGAGATGAACAAATTGAGGTACACAAAATGTAATATCATACCCAACTATGCACAAACAATAAAGAGGCACAAGGAATTAAACCCAGGGAGTGTGACCCCCTACCTGCCTATACATATTCTAAAATATCCCCTCAAACAAGGAAAAAGATTGACTAATTTTAAAATAACAACACAGTTTAATTATCACTTACATATAAATTCAGCACACCATTAGACACGCAACAAAAATGAAAGAAAAGCATTAAAAATCTTATTGGTTTCTTTCAAAATTTCTGAATTTTCTTAATTTTAATATGGAGTTTAATATGATTAGCTTTAGCTAATTTAGTATAGCTCAGAATTCTAGAATAAGCAGTCTAAGACAGTTTCAGCAAAGAAAAGAAGTTTTGAAATCTCACCCAGCAGTATAATCAACAATAACGGTCTATAAGCCAAGAACAGGGCCCTCTGCATTCAACAAATTCAACTTCCTACCTATTATTATAAATCTTCCCATACCAAGAAAGATAGGAAAAACCAATGCATCTATAAGCATAACTTCTATTTCCTTTCCTGTGAATGCAGCTATATGTACAACTCACCTCAAGAATATAAATTCCTTGCAATTGGTTTGATGTTTTAAATCATGCTTATGTATTTTCACTTAATTTTAAAAATATACACAACTGTTTCTTACCTGTTAATCAAATATTTGCTCCTCTGTTATATGTGGAGAATTTCATTTCTACTTTACTGATTTTTAAAAAACTTAATTTTAGACATGATAAAATGATAATTTAAAAAAAAGATTGTGAAGTTTTCCAAACAGAGATGCCAGGCTTCCTCTCTAATCCCCTTAACTGTTGTTATTACTGATCTTTATACAGTCATTGCTAATGTTTCTCCATAGACCTCTAATACAAATGCAGCCTGTATTATTCTTTGCCACTAAGTTCTACTTTGTTAACAAACAGGAATTCCAAAATATATTCTTGGATATTTCTTTTACCAATATTTAGGAACAAGCAGATCTCTCATCTGAGGCTAGTGTAAATTAATCAGTCAAGAACCAACACTTGCTCCTCGCTGGTGCAAGATTTTGAAATAGAAAACGAATCCTTGTGTCACTTGGTAACATGTCAGAATGAGCCCATCAATAGTGTGTGCCTAAGGCATACATTCATAGTTATGGGGTTTCCAAGACTGGGGTAATATGTGCTAGATGAGTTCAGTTTATGATCTCTATGTACACCAGCCATACAGTAGAAAATAGAGTAAAAAAATAAAGTTGTATATATCATCCGAGTCAAGAGCATACCATGAAAAAATGGTAGAATATAACAATTTGTTTGGAGTGGAAAGACAGAGAGGCCATGAACCCTTACTAAAGGGTAGGGTTGGCTGGCAGAATATATCTGCCCAGAACCCTTCTAAAAGCCCCAATGACCTCCTTATTCCTCAGGCTGTAGATGAGGGGATTCAGAGCTGGGGTGACAATTGTATAGAACACAGAGATGATATTATCTTGCTTGGGACTGTGGAAGGAACTGGGAAGGACATACATGAACGTGGCACCCCCATAGAACATTCCAACCACAGTCAGGTGGGAAGAGCAGGTGACAAGGGCTTTCTTCCTGCCCTCATTTGAAGGCATGTGGAGGAAAGTGAACAGAATTAGTGTGTAGGAGGTAACAATAGCAGAAAGAGGAAGTAAAAGGAATAGCACACCTGTCACGTAAACCATGAGTTCATATTGGGAGGTGTCTCTACAGGCCAACTTCAACAAAGGAGGGATCTCACAGAGCAGGTGTTTGATTTCCTGGGACATGCAAAAAGGGAAGAGCATAGTGTACACAGTATGACCTAGTGCACTCAGAGATGCCAGTATCCATGATGTGGACACCATGATCCAGCAGATCTTTGGACTCATGAAGACCATGTAGGTCAGAGGATGGCAAATGGCCACATACCTGTCATAGGCCATGAAGGCCAGAAGAATGTCCTCTGCACCACCCAGTGTCATTGCTGAAAACAACTGAAGGGCACAGCTTCCGAAGGAGACTGTGTTGTCTCTGAGCAGAAAATCCATGATAGCCTTTGGAGACACAGCTGATGTAAACAGGAGGTCAATGAGAGACAGCTGTCTCAGCAGGAGGTACATGGGCACGTGGAGTTGGGCATCCATTGTGATGACCAGGAGCAGCAGTCCATTGCTGATCAGAGCCAAGAAGTACAGGACTGTGATTGCGGCACAGAGCAGTTCAGGAGCTCCACTATCATCCAGAATCCCCACCAACATGAAGCCACTTCCCAGGGTGGAGTTCCAGAGCTCCATTCTGTCTGGTCTCTTTAGCTGCATAGAACAGATGGATTCCAGTGTAAGCCTTCTTATGGGATTTCAGTCCATTTTGGAATTGCCCCAGGTTACTGTGGGAGGACCAAGAAGTGTATCACACAATATCTTTTCCTTTTCTTATCTATATGTGTTCTCTTATTTCTGAGTATCAGAAGAATTTTTCATTGCATGTTGACATGCCATCTGTTACACAGGTAACAGCATATTAATAAATGCAAAATGTTGAGAATTTCTTTTTATAATGTATTCAGCAAATATGCAAAAGTATAATTTTAGGCAGATATATAATCATTTCTCTCTTTGTATCAACAAAGACACTGGGAACTGATTCAAATTCTGTTTCTGGCTAAAGTCTTGTGATTACAGTTCAAATTTTAAAGAATGGCTCATAAAGAAACATTTCATTTCATTTGAGAAAACATTGTTCCTTTCAGATGAGCTCTGTCTGCCTTTTCCTTCTTATCTTGTTGATTGCTTTCTTGACAGAAGAATCTCTGGCTTTGTGGACCATTTGATCTCTTAAACTCTTAAAATACCCTCCCCTTCTTGATTGGCTACTTGCTACTTGTTAGTGGACAGGAATGGAAAAAGAATTCAATCTTAATGAAATGTTGAGTTAGATAGATCTTAGAGACAAAATTGGAAGAAAATTAGAGAAAGTATTTGCCTATTCACAGGGAGAAGATGTATGTATATAGATAAACTGAAAATAATTACCTGGCACATTCTTTCAGATTTCTGTGCCAAGATGAGGACAGAAATTCAAAGGACCCAAAAAGAACGGGACTTTGTAAGGGTGGTAGAATTAGAGTTCCAATCCTATCTACCAACTACTTAACTCTGCATCAAGACTCACCTCCTGTTATGTTCATTGCTTCTTCCCTATGCCCTATAAAGATAAAAATCAAAAAACTCCCACTGGAACAGAAGAGTGAGATCCCACTTATAGAGATCTTGGTTGTATGCGGACAGTACATCAGGAGCTTTCAGCAGAGGCTGAGATGGATGAGGAAGATTGCTATATTTCATGGAAATTTCCAGAAGAAATTGAGAGTAAATTTTTAGAATTTTGGAAGCATGTTTTCATTAGCTTTTTCTCTTTGTCACTATTCAGTGCATTTAAATTTTGATTTCAGGCTTTCCTGTATTATTTTCAATGTAAAGTAGGCATATGGGGGGAGGAAATTCAACTTACATATAAATATCTAAAGATAGATCTTTTTGAAGTACTATTTGTTTAGGGGTCTAATTCAAACTCTGGGAGTCCAGGAAACTCCAAATATACCAAAAATAAGCACTGATAATTTTACTAGGCACACAGAATTGAGAATTCTAGCAACACAGGTTTGTCCAGAAAGGAAGACTGATTGCAAGTGTGCCCAAATGTAGAAGCTGGTATTTTGTACAAGAGGTACATAGTATAGAACTCAGAAGTCTGAGGAACTAGGGAATCTGAGAGGCAGAGAAGTGAGCTTTTAATGTTGTTGTTCAAGGCTTAAAGCCTTACAATATTGCCTAAATCAAAGATAGATCCCTTACCACCAACTACAAAATGCACAACTTCAAGGCCACACCAGGGCCCTGGGATTCCTTTTGAAGCTGAAGAGATTCAAGACACCTAAGAAAGGTATTTTTTATCTGACAGGGTGTGCTGAAGAAGCCTGTGTGGCTGTCACTAGGATCATTGATCAAATAGTCCCACAGTCCTCTCTGAAGGAAATGAGTATAAGTGATCAGCTGAGTTCTAGTGTAGGATCCTGGAAAAGTGTGGGGCTGAATCCTTCAGCATGGTTTTCATCTACTCTTTCAAAAATCCTTCTGATCTCTCAATATGATATTGACTCAGGGTGACTAATGCTCAACATCCTCATCCTATCAGTGAAATGGAAATCAAAACTACATTCTGATGCCATCTCAACCCAATCAAAATTGTTATAAAGAAAACACCGGATCTGAGTTGTGATAGACCAAGTCCTCAGAATTCATTTGTTCTGTCCTGCAGGAAGACCAGCCTCTGCCTAGCTTAATTGTCCGTGGGGAAACAGTGAACACCAGCCTCGTCCAGGGGGAGTTTTGACAGTGTCTTCCTCCCAGGTGACATGACCTCTTCAGAATATGCTGCTCTTAGAAAGTAAATTTTAATGAACTCTCCTAGGCATGTGCCCAGCTAGCCATTTTTGCACACTTTGACCACTAAATTGGCTGTGAAGTCTAAGGAATTCTTCTGCTCCACGTGGTCTTGCTTAGAGTCCTTGACTAAAGGGGGGAACTGACACAAGCAGCAAGGGAAACTGTACAGCTTCTGCCAATTTTCAAGAGTGTTTTTTGATCTCTCTTAGGGCTCTACTCTCTACTCCACTTCCCTCCCGTGTCTTCAGTTTTTTAGTTTTTGAAAATTTAGTATTATATTTACATCATTCTCCCCCTCCCTCTCCCTCTCCCTCTCCCTCTCCAACACTTCCCATGTCCCCCTCCACTCCCTCTTAATTTAATGAACTCTTCTTTGAATAACACACACACACACACGCACACATACACACAATCTACTGATTTCACTTGGTGGTGCTTGTGTGAATGTTTGTCTAGTTCTTATTGGAAAACTTACCTGTCAGGGAGCTTGTCCCTGGAGAAAGTTGATTCTCCCTACTTCAAAAGCCATGTTTGCCTGTAGCTCTTCATATAGGAGTAGAACCTTGTGAAATTTTCACGGTCTACATTGACCTGTCAACTGGTGTCATCATTGTACAAGACTTGGTTAGGAAAACATTGCTGAGATTTCATGATTACAGCATTTTCATGTTTAGAATCCACTATCTAGTAGCCTTAAACTTTTACAATTTGTCCCCCTCCCTGGCCTGATATATTTTCTGAGTCTTAGATTTAGGGGCTGCATTGTAGATGCATCATTTGGGGCTGGGCTCACCACAGTCATTTAAACTTTACATTTTTATCAGTCATGGAACTTTGTAATAGTGTGGATCTGTTTCAAAAGAAGTTCTTTTGATAAGCAGTAAGAGCTACACTTATTTGTGAAAGTAAGTGTTTAGAATATAGCTAGAAATTACATAGGTTTTAGAAAGTGACAATAGGAGATTCCCCTCTAGGGTGTAAGACATTTCTAGCTATATTTATAGCACCAATCAAAGAATCCCTCTTATTGAGTGATCCTAACACAGCTATTGGAAAAGCCAAAAATAAAAGTGTCAATGCACCATTAGAGAGATTTTACTGGACTGATCATTGTTTGCATGTTGATCATGGGCTTACTGTTGGGCAGGACTATCGATTGCTTTCCTCCCTTGGTAGTTTGAATAGCACCTTTCCATGCTATGAGAGCTGGTCCTCAGGGAGGAGGCTTCCAGGCCAATTCCAGCTTGATCCTGTGTCTGACCTGGAATTAGCTATGTAGATGAGACTATCATTGATCTCACAGTGATCTGCTTGCTTCTACCTCCCAGGTACCGGTATAAAGGTGTATGCCACTAAGCCTGGCCAAAGTACATGCTTTTACTGGGCTATTACCGGCTTCACTGAATTAGACAAGCACATCTCTTTATATAAGGTCTTCCTTCATTAATCTTTAAGAAGTATCAACACTGATTTATTGGACCTTCCATGTTGTTCACGTCTACATTGTTTTCTACCCTCTCATTTACATGCTCAGATAGGCATATGCCTATGTAGTCTGTGACCACAGGCCTCAGTAGCTCAGAGGTTTGGGATAGCACAGTACCTGCCATAGGTATCACTGCTCTATTCAGGGTTGTTCTCATCTCTTACCCAGTTCCTTATGATTTTCTTTCTCAGTCTTCCTTTATTTGCTTATTTCACCAGTAAAAGCTAGAAAATTGCTTCTGAGAGTTGCCATACCTTTTTGTTCTCAAGTTTAAGAAAATTAAACCTGATTTTTAATTTATTGATTATAAAAATAATTTATAGTTGAAAATTACTCCATAAGAAAAATGGGAAAATATTAAATCTGGTGGTTTTTGCCATCATAAAACTATCACAATTTCTGATGGTGTTTTTCTCTTTGATTATAAGAAGTTGTGGATATCATGACATTTCCATGCATGATGATCTTCCCTAGCACAGAATCCATGTTTCTCCTTCATTACTAATTTTGCCTGACATAGTCTTGTAGACATCTTTTGAGACAGTCACAACTGCTCTGAATTCATGTGTTCAAGAGTTCTGTCATGTGGAGACAATGTTGTTTCACAACTGTCCTGAAATATCTCTGGCTCTTATAATCATCCTGCCTGCTCTTCCAAGATGATCACTGATCCTTGGGGTGAGAGGGTTTGATATACATGTGTGTTCCCCAGGGATTCTGGTTCCTCCAAGGGGTGGGACCTGCTGTGGAGAATTGACTATGGAGACTTAGCCACGGAAGGAGGGGCTTGTGGTGCCATCTTGGCACAGAAGCTGCCAGGAATGTGTGGCAGCTGGCATGGGGAATGCGAAGCAGCCAGGCATACTCATACGCAAGGGCAGAATGGCCTGGCACTTATGGACCTGGGGGCAAGACCACTGGCCCCTGAGACATGTTCAAAAGCTAGTGGTCACTATGGGCATGCTGGGAGAGTGATCTGTTATGTCAGGCTCTGAGCCACAGTGCTGCGCCAGTCATGGAGCTGAACAGTGCAGAGCTGAGCAGTGTGGAGCTAGGCACTGGGTGCTTGTTTCTTCGTAAGTCACACCTCTCCCACCCCACAATAATAATAAATGTGCATAAAGACATGTTATATGGTTTACCTGATAGAGCAAGAGACAGAGAGAACTCTGGTGACAAAACAGAAGTAGTCCATCCCATATAAACGAACCACAGCCTTGGGGATGTGGGTCTTGGAAAGCAGTGCTGTTTCCACTGCCTCTGCGGTGAGTCAGCTGGGCTCTGATTCCCAAAACCAGGAGCAGCTGCCAAGAACCCAGGGGTGAAGGCAATCAAACCCTATAGGCTTAATGGAGTTAGCAAT